TCTAGCTTCTTTTCCTTTTCACAGCGTTAGGAGAATAACACATATATCTTTGTGCAGGTTCGGTATAGGTCCAATACTCCACTTGTTCTGAAAGGAATATCCCTTAGCATCAACGGAGGAGAAAAAATTGGCATCGTTGGGCGCACTGGAAGTGGGAAGTCTACTCTGATACAAGTTTTCTTTAGGCTAGTGGAACCTTCAGCTGGAACCATCATAATTGATGGTGTTGACATTTGCAAGTTAGGACTTCATGATCTTAGATCACGCTTCGGCATCATCCCTCAAGAACCAGTCCTATTTCAAGGGACAGTAAGAAGCAATATTGATCCCCTAGAACAGTATTCAGATGATGAAATATGGAAGGTATGTATTGCATCTGCATTTCCATCTAATCATATCATCTCTTTTTGGAATTGACTTATCTTTAACTTTTCTTTTGTATCTCTTAGAGTCTTGAACGCTGCCAATTAAAAGATGTGGTAGCAGCCAAACCTGAGAAACTCGACGCGTCAGTGGTAGATAGTGGAGAGAACTGGAGTGTTGGACAAAGACAGCTCCTTTGCTTAGGGAGAGTCATGCTCAAGAACAGTAAAATTCTTTTCATGGATGAAGCAACGGCTTCTGTTGATTCCCAAACTGATGCTGTCATCCAAAAGATCATTCGTGAGGACTTTGCAGCCTGCACTATTATCACCATTGCTCACCGAATACCAACTGTCATAGACTGTGACCGCGTTCTTGTTATAGATGATGGTAAGTTTTTAATGGACTAAGAGGGTGTCCGGTACGCTTATAAGCTTATAGACACTTTTAGTTTATCTACGCGTTAAGTAAACTTCAAAAATGCTTATTAGTAGAGTGATCCTGCCAATTTCAAAATTTTGATGATGTTGTGGTTTTGACAGGATGGGCAAAGGAATATGACAGACCAGCTACCTTACTTGAAAGGCCATCAATATTTGCAGCATTGGTTCAAGAGTATTCCATCAGATCAACAGGTCTATGAGAAAGAGTACTTCAACTTTGGAAATTTGAATCCAAATCAGCAGAAAGTGATATGATATTTTCTATGTCAAAATCCTCCCCATGTAACATGATATTTTTCTCATATCCAAATTTTGTAGTCGAATTGTTTTTAGATGAATGACCATGTAACACATTATTATTCTCGACTACTGTGTTATTTGTTACTCCCTCCATCCCTATAACCAGAGGCAGAGCCAGGATGCCTAATCGTTTTAAGTTAATGGGTATTTATACATATTTAATGAAAATTTTCGACATATACATTATTCGAACGAAAGTTACCGGGTTCGTCCGAACCAGAAACCGATACCGATGCTCTGCCTCTACCTATAAGAATGGCATTACTACTATTTCAAGAGTCAATAAGTGAAGTGTAACACTCCGTAAATTCGACTTAGGTGTAGATGGGTTAAATGAGTAGTAATGTCATATTTTAAGCAATTTCCGCCGCGATGACGAGAGAGATTGAAACTAGCAATTTACGGTAATATATAGAGAAGTTAAAATGCACCTGTCAGCAAATATACAATAATAACACTCTCGGCACATAGTACTACTCCCAAAAAACCCGGAATCTCATGATCACAACAAACTAGAGGAAATACATAGTGTTCTAACTCCAGAAGTCTAAACAAATAATTAAGTAAGGTCTATTAGCTAAAGGGAGAAATTAGAGATGGGACTTCTCGGTCTGGCGGACGCGGCAGATATAATCCTCGAAGTCTTCTAAAAAATATGCCTGCACGTCACTGGATTGCGTATTAGCTGAGCCAGAAGAACCTGGATCTTGCACACAGAAAGACATGTGTAGAAAGGGCATGAGTACACCACATACGTACCCAGATACAGTGCCAACCTAACATCGGTCGAGTAAGTGACGAGGAATGTCAGGGTCGCCTACTGGTTATATATATAATATAATATATATATATATATAATATATATATATATATATATATATAATATAATAATAATAT